ATATATCTGTAACAATATTTAAGATTTAAAAAAATGTAACCTGTAACGGAAAAATTCATCGATCAGGATTTCTTTACCCTAAATTACGTACAACAGTTACTAAGTTCTTCCATATACAACAGTTTGGTTTGAAAGTTTGGCTGTTCCTATTGAAATCTTTAAACATATGGTATATTACACCCATATTTTACTGTCTTTAATAGGTTGTGGGGAGAGTTTATTGCTCACATCACAGACATGTTAAATCCTGACACATTCTTAATGTGCCTACTCTAAGCCAGGAACCTGTAATCAAGTGGTTATGGTGGTTGTTATAAGTTACTATTTGCCTAATTTTTTTTCTTTCATTGTTGTAATTTCCATTGGTTTTCTTTTTCTTTTTAGCTGACTTAAAATGTTGTGGGTTTTGCTCATTGTGTTGAAGGCATTACTGTGACAAGTTCTTGTTTACCTGTTTGTTTTTTGTCTATGGATCTCTTTTGCAATCGTAATGTCCATTGAAAGGCTTTTTTTCTCATTATAACCTTTTCCAGTTTAATAACCATTTCAATTTATTTTTTAATAGCTACTGTTTTCAGTTGCACCTGTGAATGGTCAAATGGGTAATACAAATGTACATTGATTTTGAAAACTTTTTGCAGTTATAAAGTCATAAAAGATAATATAATATGGAGTCCTGTGACAATAACTACATCAATATAAAAAAATAAATCAGCTGTTAGGTTTGCTTCTCTCACTCTTTATTTTTCTCTGTTAGCTTGTTGACTCTGAAATGTACAAGTTGTTCTGAATATGCATGTAACTTTTGCTGTTTGATTGAACACTGCCCGTGCGTGTGCACTCGACTCCAATCTTAATTGACTAGGATTGTCAGTTTTCCTATCGAAGGTCGTGGTTTTCTCTGGGCACTCCTGCTGCTTCCACCAATAAAAACTGGTCGCCATGAAATAGCCCTAATGTGGTGCTTAAAAGTGGTGTTAAAACACCAACAATCAATCAATCAATTTATTCTACTCATATCAAGCATATTGGGTAAACTTATGCATCTATGCACCTTTTATCTCTTCACAAAAAACATCATACAAAAATTTATCTTCAGTTAAACTAAAATGTTTATACTTTTAAGTTTACTTTTAGTGCTTATGTACTCTATGACATAGGAAAAAATAGTTAAAAAAACAATAATAAATTTAGATTAAAGATGCTAATTTTAGAAATATATGTACAATGTACTATTATGGCATTTCCTTTATTCTGGGTATTTTGCAGATTTATTTTTAAAACTATTGTAATATATAGTATATTGAAATGAATAAGCTTGATATGTATTTACATGTCTATCTCAATTAGGTGATTCTTAAATAAGGGTAAAACTATTTTTAGTTTTTATGCAATATTTGTCCAAAAGGTAGATGAATATGACAATAAAAATAAAATTAAAATCATAATAGATTGAAGTTTAATAAAGGTGACCTTGACAATTTTAATATTTTTATTTTAGTGTCAGAATGTAGAACTTATGTATAATTTAATTATTTTTTTATAGCATAATCAGATTCAATTTATTTACTTTGAAATGAGTGTTTGAAATACTTTTATACAAACAGATAATGATTAATTCTGAAAAGTTGTTATTCTTATTGAAATAATGGGAATAGGATTTGGTCATTGATTTAATAGGATTAGGTCATCATGATCACTACCCATAGGTGGATATTTAAATTCCATATTTCATCACTTCAGTAAATAGATTAATGTTTATCACCTGTTTTAGGCAGTGACTAAGCTTTTTTTTAGTATGGAACAGAAATGCCAAATTACTTTCTGATCCCATATTGTAATCTTAACATTGTCATGACATTTTCCATAAATAAAGTGCAGAAAAGTTAAGATAATAGATTGTTTTACCCAGACTGAGTATACAGGCACACATTGCACTAAGGTATTGAAATTTTGCAAATAATAATTTATTTAATAGTGAAACATGTATTTTATTTCATGTTAAGACAAGAACTAAAGAAGGAAATTTTTGAGCTAAAATGTTCTTGAATCAACTTTTCTAACTTTTTGCACTATGTTATCTTTTAAAAAATATAGAGAGGACCAGAAGCAAACCCAACAGCTTATTTTTGCCTATTATCTTGAAAACTAATAGATACAGAGAGATTTCAAATTGCAAAAATGATCAGCAATTCAGGATCTACAAATAAGTCTGCTTGATCGAAATTGTAAGTCGACTCCTTATTAGAGTTATTGTCTTTTGATGACGTTTTTTACCAATTTTTTGCGTTTTTCCCTTATTTTTTAAAAATTATGATAGATAGATAGAAGCTTTAATAAGCAAACGTGATCAGCAAGACAAGATCTACAATTAAGACAAATGGAGGAAATTGTCTGACGACTCCTTTCTGGAGTTATTGCCCTTTAATGTCAAATTTTACCATTTATTTTGCGTTTTTGCCTTATATCTTCAAAATTGTAATAGATAAAAAGAAACTTAAATAAGCAAATATGATCAGCAAGAATGTAGTTCTTGTCTTGCTTATTTAAGTTTCTATTTATCTATAATAGTTTTTATCAAATAAGTCAAAACGCAAAAAAAATTGGTAAAAATTGACATTACAGGGCAATAACTGCAATAAGGATTCTACAGACAATGTCCTCTTTTTTGTCTTAATCCTAATTGTTTTGCGTTTTACCTTATTTGATTAAAATTATTATAGGTAAAAAGAAACTTTAATTAACAAATATGATCAACAAGTCAAGATCTACAAACAAGTCAAATTTTGCTGATATAGTTAGTAGACTGCCACTCTTTTTTGGGGTGATTTCCCTTAAACAAGGATTTTTTTACCCTCTTTTGTGTTTTGAGCAAAAACTAAAGAAGATAGAGAGAAACTAAACAGACAAAACAATCAGCAATACAAAATCAACATAAAAGAGATTTTTGTCATGAATTCTATTCTCGTTTGACGAGAGTGTCCTTTTGAGCTAAAGAGGGCCAGGTGAGCTTTCCTCATCACTTGGCGTCCGTCGTCCGTCGTCTGTCGTTGTTGTTGTAGTTAACTTTTACAAAAATCTTCTTCTCTGAAACTACTGGGCCAAATTAAACAAAACTTGGCCTCAATCATCCTTAGGGTATCTATTTTAAAAAATATATCCGATGACCCCCGCCCATCAACCAAGATGGCCACCTCGGCTAAAAATAGAACATGGGGGTAAAATACAGTTTTTGGCTTATAGCTCTGAAACAAAAGCATTTAGAGAAAATTTTGACGAGTAAAAATGTTCATCAGGTCAAGATCTATCTGCCCTGAAATTTTCAGACAAATCAGACAACCCGTTGTTGGGTTGCTGCCCCTGAATTGGTAATTTTAAGGAAATTTTGCAGTTTTTGGTTATTATCTTGAATATTATAATAGATAGAGATAAACTGTTTACAGCAAAAATGTTCAGCAAAGTATGATCTACAAATAAGATTAACACGACCAAAATAGTCAATTGACACCTTAAGGAGTTATTGCCCTTTAAAGTCAATTTTTCACAATTTTTTGTAAATTTTTGTAATCTTTTACAAAAATCTTCTCCTCTGAATCTACTTGGCCGAATGGAATTAAACTTAGCCACAATTATTATTAGAGTATCTTGATTGAAAAATGTATCTGATGACCCTGCCCTACAACCAACATGGTCCCTATTGGTAAAAATAGAACATAGGGGTTTACTACATGTACTATAGAAGTCTATGGGAAAATGTAAAAAAAACAATTTCAAATGGTCACAACTTGAAAACTAATTTGAATAATGATAATGGGTCTTCAGTAACTAACTATTGTAAGACTACAATGGGTTGACTAGATTTTTTTTCCAGGGGGTGCAATTTTTTCAGGGGGGGGGGTGTTAATAATTTCTCCTTGATATGTTCCATTTTCATAATTTTCAGTGTCACTTTTTCTATAAACCATTAATTATTATATCTTTTCTTTCAGCATACTTATATTGGCTGAACGCCCCCCAGACCCAGCGGTTAGTCTGAGTCAGGGGAACCCCTGCCCAAATTTTTTTTTGAAGGGTGTTCCATAAAAACAAAGGCATTTTCAGCATTATACAGGCCCTGGGTGAAAAAAATTTTGGATCGGTGAAAAGAAAATTTTTAACATGACCAATTGGCAATTGACGTCTTATTGGAGTTATTTTCTGCAATTTATTGGTAATTTTTTATAAATCTTAAAAAGACTTCTGCTTTTAATTTAACTACTGGGCCATATTTAACCAAACTTAGCCTCAATCATTATTAGGGTATCTATATGATTTTAACCTTATTTTACATGATTTCCAAAACCACAGTAGATACAGGTAAGCGACACAGGCTCTTGAGAGTCTCTAGTTTGAATATGTATATATACATAGACCTAGGTGAGGAACACAGGCTCTTTAGAGCCTCTACGTTTTTTTTTAAAAGTGACCTTGTGACCTTGTGACCTGAGATATTTTTCAAAAATAACCTTGTGACCTAAGTGGGTAACCTACTAGTAGCCCAGAAATGTCCATGAGGATCTCCAATATTTTGATATGATCCTGTTCATCTAGTTGAAAAAGAAATAGAACTTTAAAATGCCTAGTAATATAACATAATAGATATAAGAAGATGTGGTATGAGGGCCAAGGAGACAACTTTCCATCCAAGTCACAATTAGTAAAAAGTTAACAATTATAGGTTAAAGTACGGCCTTCAACACGGAGCCTTGACTCACACCGAACAGCAAGCTATTAAGGGCCCCAAAAATGACTAGTGTAAAAACCGTTCAAACAGGAAAACCAAAGGTCTAATCTATATGAAAAACGAGAAACACTTATGAAAGACACCAACAAACAACAAACACTGAACAACAGGTTCCTGACTTAGGACTTAAGCTTATTTTTGCAAATATAATTGAAACTTAATTTGACAACTTGAACAAATAAACTAACATGTCATTATGTTTTTTTCTTTCTTTCAGAAAATGCACATCAATTATGAAGTACATTAATGACAAGAAAGAAATTATATACAACATCCTGAGGGTATGATAAAATTAAATTCAGTTTTGGTTTATAATGATTAAAGACTTACACTGATCAGAGATATATTGTATCTATATCTTTCTATTTTATGCTTTTTTATGATGGTCTTAGGGATCTCCATGACCCTATGTATGATGTTATAACATCATTAACTTATCCTCCAAATGGGGCCCCCATTGTTAAATAATATCCTCCCATGCACAGTCATAAAAAAACTATGCTAGAATCTGCTGTTTCAAGTTTGCAATAAGACCCAATTATCTGTAATTCATGATCTTTTTGGACAATAAGTACATTTTCTTACAAAAAGTTGATGTCACCAAGCAAATATCTCCATGTCACAATGTTCTATGGCAAGTTTCCCCCTGTTAAAAGGAAATTGAAATCTTGTCTTCTGCAAAACTCCTCATATAATCAGACTCATTCAGAGGAGGAAGGGCCTCGGTGGTCGAGAGGTCTAAGTAGTTCATCTACTATATATCACAACCTATGAACAATGAGGTTGTGAATTCAAACCCCACACTCTGCAGATGTGTTCGGCTCCAATTTTAAATTGACTGGGATTATCAGTTTTCCTGTAGAAGGTCTTAGTTCACTATGGGCACTTGGGCTTCCTCCACTAATTAGAACTTACCGCCATAATATAGTCAATATAGCTGAAAGTGTTGTTAGACACTAACAATCAATCAATCAGAGGAGAATATTTTAGCGAATCAATAGGAAATTTGAGGGAAAAGTATTGTAAATTTTAACAATGTTTAATGCCAAAATATAACCTATTTAATGCCAGATTTTTAACCATTCTACAATGTTCTATGGAAAAACGAAAATTATCTTTGCCAATTTTTGCGACTGAAATATAGTTTATTACATTAAATAGTAAAATTATCTATACTATTAAATTTGTAGACCAAATTCTTTTAGCTGGTTTGTCTCCGAGGTGACGATTATTATGTAGTAATAAATAGTTAGTGTATGTAATGTACTTTATAACTTCATATAGTAATTGCTTTAATTAGCGTAGCTTAATTAATTAAACTCCAAATAAAGTTCCATAGCTGGTTTCTTACCGTCTACATCTTGTAAGTTGGCGGAAATGGTTTTGTATTCAATTTGTCTTGAATTTATGACAACTCGGCCCACGGCCAACTCTCACCACTCAAACACTCTCACTAATTATTACAACTTGCATCACTTTATCAAACTTGCACCACTCAAAAAAAAAGAAAAGAAATATAACAAAAGAAATGTGTTAAATCATTAGATTGTTTTTCTTCTCTTTGTAAATTCCTCCTTTCTCGGAGCACCTGTGTCACTCAGAGACAGAACTCGCACCACTCGAAAAAAAAATACTACAAACTCGCACCACTGAAGAAATGTTTTAAATCATCAGAGAGTTCTAGATTGTCTTCTCTTAGTTATTTCCTGTGTAACACCAAGACAGAAGCTACTAATTGGACATTAAAACTCCTATGGCAGAAAAACTGACAAACTAATCAAAACTATCAACATAATGCACCAGTGCATAGAAACAGTTTGAGAAACACGAACCCAAGCTGTGTATCACCATAAACATTTCAAGTAGTCTTCAAGCCGCGCTCGCGCAGGTTTTTTCTAGTAGATTTAAATGTTAAAATAGCACAATATTGAAATGTCATATTTCAGTAAAAATGCAGTGTGATAAATGTGAACATGATGAATATCTGGTTCAAAAACTTCCTAAAATAGACATGATAGAGGATGTACAAGTTTTACATGTTTTATTCTCTCAGCAGATTCTAACTATACTTATGACTAGTTACAAAAATAATGATAATGAAAGTAGAACAAGGAAGTCTTTGAGATTAAGAACTATATTTATATTATTGCATACACTCTATTAATATCAAAACCAGCTAGGAATTTTCAGGTGTCAATTTTTTTAACAGATTGTTTCTAGTTTAGTTTTATGTAGACTAGAAAACATGAGAAGTTTCTGATCGGTTAAGAAATGTCTGTCTGCTGTTCAAATATAAGTGATGTCTGCCATCATAGTTACTAGTTTAAAAAAAAAAAAAAAGAACTAGGCAATGCTGTATTTCACTGTGATTCATCTGTAAAAGGCAGAAATTTAAATGACTTTTTTTAAATATAGACAAGTCAAATGATTTTTTTGGCAGACAGTCACCTGTTTATCAGTTTACAACAGGTGAGAAGTCTAGATACAATTGGATTGTCATTTGCTGATCAATACTTGAAGAGCTGCTGTTAACATGATTAAATCCTGCCAGCTTGTATATTCGAACATGATGGTAATGACATCTATGAAGTGAAAATACACCTTATCGCTATTTGTCTGCCAATACTGGACATCACAAAGGTTCACGTAAAATTTTGACGTCATAATAGAAAATATCTGACGCCACAATGGAAAAGTAATTGTTGTATGACTTCAATAGTTCAAGAGGCGCAGATTCTCTGGTCGAAGCAGATTTCCAAATAGCGATAAGGTCTATGGTAGTATGGGGAATGGGAAGAGGGGAGGGCAGGGATGTGGGCATATGAGTTCTTTGAATTCTGATATTGATTTACAAATGTTTGTATGAATGAATAAAAAAAATGTCAATGAGACAGCAAACCAACGACACAAATAACTAAAGGGCATCTAGAAGTCATCATACAGTCCTCAACAATAGCTCTTAATCACCCCAAGTTGAATATAAGATGTGATTATCAAAAAATCCAAAAGCAGTGCTATATTCTCAAAACAGCATGAACATTTGACATTTCCAAAAAAAAAAAATGATCGACTTGTAGTTATGTTGATAAAAAACTTGTATGCACATGATGCAGATACAGTACACACCAGGCCTTTGGGGCATTAATCAGTACTCAGAGTTCAAAAGGTATAAGTTTGGTAAGGGCCATATTGGAATATTGAGTCCAGTGTTTCAAGATAAAAAATGTTTTAAGTTGATGAAAAGACACTTAAGAAAGAAAATACCGGTAGAGTTTTTCTTATAAAGGGTTAAAATTTACAACCCAAATAGGCCATAAGTAGAAATTTTGGTGAAATTTGACAAAATGGTCTAGATTTCAACCAAATTTAGGCCTAGGAAACATAGAACTCAGGCTGCGACAAAATATTTAAGTCAGATATATGTAAAATGTTATTACTAACATTATGTTAAAAGATCTTTTTTGTCTAGACATGCGCTCATGCAGTAGCTGAGTATGTTTCTTGTAAAAAAAATCAATGGAAATTTAAATCAAAATGTGTGCTATTTGTGACGTCATGAGAAGAGCATTCAACAAATAGACATATTTTCTGTCTAGTCATTATTTTAGCTATGATTCAAATGAGTGTGATATTGGCCAATAAATCCTAATTTGAAATTGTAGCTAGAAATAGGGGCCAATTAAGGGCCTTATCGAACCTTCGTGCTCCAAACACCAAATCCAATATTTTGATTGGTTGATGTCTAAGTCTGAGTACGATCATCGTACTCAAAAGTTTATTAGACAGTAAGCCTAGTTGATTCAGTTAAAACACACCTTGTTGTTATTGAGGGATTAACAATAAAGCAGGTTGTCTGAAAGAGAAGAACAATTAAGGTTTTTCTGGTTTCCAGACAAATACTTAAGTATTCAGAGTCAATGGATCTCAATGAAATTGTACCACAAGGTTCCATACCACACACAGAAGATTGGGGTCGATTTTGTGGGTTGTGGCTTAAATCGTTAAGAAACTAGAGGACAAAACCAACAAGACTTTACAATACTGAAACAACAAATACTGATATGGCAGGAGATACACACCAAACAGGGTGTGTAAATTATTAGCTCACCTGGCCCTTCGAGCTATTCTCATCACTTGGCCTCCGTCGTCCGTCCTCTTCTGTCGTCATTGTCGTTAACTTTTTTTACATTTTCACCTTCTTCTAGAAAACTCCCAAGATTGCCGCCAGCGGGGGACTTAGTTTAACATAGGACCGACTCGGACCCTATGGGAAATACATACAAATGTCTTCTTTTAGAGAACCAGTGAATGGAATGAAACCAAACTTGGCATGAATGTTCCTTATGAGGTGCTGACCAAGTGTTGTTACTTTGCAGTATGTCCATCATCCAAGATGGCCGCCAGCAGGGGACTTAGTTTAACATAGAACCCTATGGGAAATACATACAAATGTCTTCTTTTAGAGAACCACTAAATGGAATGGAACCAAACATGGCATGAATGTTCCTTATCAGGTGTTGACCTAGTGTTGTTACTTTGCAGCCGATCCATTATCCAAGATGGCCGCCAGTGGGGGACTTAGTTTAACATAGGACCTTATGGGAAATACATACAAATGTCTTCTCTTAGAGAACCACTGAATGGAATGAAACCAAACATGGCATGAATGTTCCTTATGAGGTGCTGACCAAGTGTTGTTACTTTGCAGTCGGTCCATCATCCAAGATGGCCAACAGCGGGGGACTTAGTTTAACATAGGACCCTATGGGAAATACATACAAATGTCTTCTTTTAGAGAACCAATGAATGGAATGAAAGCAAACATGGCATGAATGTTCCTTATGAGGTGCTGACCAAGTGTTGTTACTTTGCAGCCGATCCATCATCCAAGATGGCCGCCAGTGGGTGACTTAGTTTAACATAGGACCCTATGGGAAATACATACAAATGTCTTCTTTTAGAGAACCACTAAATGGAATGGAACCAAACATGGCGTGAATGTTCCTTATGAGGTGCTGACCAAGTGTTGCTAATTTGTTGACGATTTACTGTTCAAGATGGCCACCAGGATATTTTATTAAATAACGGGACCAATATTAAACCAAATTTGGCCTCAATCATTATTTGGGAATCTGTTATGATTTTTATCTATCTTTACATGATTTCTAAAACCAAAGTAGAGTCAGGTGAGCGACACAGGCTCTTGAGAGCCATTAGTTATATTTAGTTTGTAAACAGATTTACTAAGTATTGCACAACAGCAAAATATTGCACAATAACAAGAAATCTTCAATTGAAAATAAATACAAATCTTGTAACCAATTTCAATGAGGATTAATTTAAAGTCTTGAATTGTTTGAGGTTTTTACCATATATTACTATATTGGATATTTGGACTTTTTTAAATAGGTCTACATTGGGGTCCAAAGGGTCCAAAATAAGACTTTGTTTGATTTCATCAAAAACTGAATTCTTGTAGTTCTATGATATGCTGAATCTAACTGTGCATTCAGTATGTTCAGATTTGTAATTTTGGGCCCTGATTTCAAATTACCGGTAGTACATATTAAGGTCCAAAGGGTCCAAAATTAAACTTTGTTTGAATTCATGGTTTTTTTTATACGCCTGTTTACGGGAGGTATTATGGTATACCGTTGACGGTCTGTCCGTCCGTCGTACCGTCTGTCCGTCTGTCCGTCCGTCCGTCCTCAACATGTCGGACATTAACTCAAAAACTCTTCAACCAATATGCATGAAACTTTGGTGAATTGTTTATATCTATTGACGTGAGCTCCGTTTTGTTTTTTTATAAATTTCAGATTTACCGTTTCTGAGTTTTGAGGTTTTATGCATTAAAAAAGGGGTGATTTTGTGGACAATAACTCAAAAACAATTTCACCAATTTGCAAGAAACTTTGGTGAATTGTTTATTTATATCGACATGAGCTCCCTTTCGATTTTTATAAATTTTAGACCATACGTTTCCGATTTATGGGGTTTTATTCATTACAAAAAGGGGGATTTTCCAGTTTTCGGACAATAACTCAAAAATGCTTTCAGCATTTTTTATGAAACTTTGGTGAATTGTTTATATCTATTCAGTATTGATGTAAGCTCCTTTTAGAATTTTATAAATTTTAGATTTTACATTTCCGAGTTCTGGGGTTTTATTCATTAAAATAGGAGGGATTTTCCAGTTTTTGGACAATAACTCAAAAACAATTTCACCAATTTGCAAGAAACTTTGGTGAATTGTTTATTTCTATTGACATGAGCTCCCTTTTGATTTTATTTTAATTTTAGACTATACGTTTCCAATTTATGGGGTTTTATACATTACAAAAAGTGGGATTTTCCAGTTTTCGGACAATAACTCAAAAATGCTTTCAGCATTTTTTATGAAACTTTGGTAAATTGTTTATATCTATTGTTGTAAGCTCCCTTTTGATTTTTATAAATTTAAGATTTAACGTTTCCGAGTTTTAAGATTTTATTCATAAAAAAAGGGTTGATTTTCAAGTTTTTGGACAATATCCTTTAAGTTCTTAGAGCAGTTTTCATTAAACTTTGATGACTGATATCATAAGATTTATATCTATTAAGATAACCTCCCTTTAGCTTTTTATAAATTTCTGATATAACATTGAGAAGTTATTGTTTGTTTATAGTCTGACAACAGATTTACTAAGTATTGCACAACAGCACAGTGTAATGCACAACAGCAAGAAATCTTTAATTGAATATAAATTCAATTCATATAACCAATTTCATGTTCTTTGACTACATTTATTCAGAAACCTATTATATGTCAAATATTTAATTACAATCCAAATTCAGACCTGTATCAAGCTTAAATATTGTGTCCATTTTTGCCCCAACTGTTCAGGGTTTGACCTCTGCGGGCGTATCCAGCTGCACTCAGTGAAATAGTTTATTTATATATGCTGAATCTTAACCATGGAATTAGATTTTGGATATTTGACCATTAAGTAGATTAAATGTCCCATTTAAAATTCTTAAGTTATCTGACCACATTTATTCTGTGTCAGAAATCTATAATGTGTCAAATATTTAATCACTATCCAAATTCAGAGCTGTATCAAGCTTGAATATTGTGTCCATACTTGCCCCAACTGTTCAGAGTTCGACCTCTGCGGTTGTATACAGCTGCTTCAGGCGGAGCGCATTTTTACTGAATAAAACCTGAATAACTTTTGTAGTGAAAGTACCAATTTTGGTTCAGAATTTAGCCACCCTTTTACCTAAAAAGAGGCTACCATTACCTGTATCATGTGTATGTTGTCATGTAGAAATTGTTTTAGCTTTGTTTAAGTTTATATTACAAGTACGGTAAGATATATATGAATGGGGATAATACCTCCAGAGCCATTTTCATAAATTTTGCAGTTTTTAGTATTGTCTAAAATACGTAATTGTAATTGTAATTAATCTGTATTTAAAATATATTTTAATATATAGCTGTTGATACTTCTTCACTTTTGTGGAGTAAGTGACAGTCAAGGATGTCAACATGTTCCAAAGGTTGTGGCCAGCTGTCCCAAGTCTGCTTATGATTGGACGATGCATGCAAAGATAATATGTACAGAGTCGAACAACTATCACTGCCTAATAACAGAACACCATCGTGATGACAAACAACATATCATTGAATGCTGCATGAAGCCTCAAAACATCACAAGGGGTAATTATTCTGGTATCATATAAGGAGTAACTGTGGCCATTTTTTGTCAGGCCTGAGAAGGAAATGGTCGTATATTGGTATGACGTTGTCGTCGTCGTCGTTGTCGTTGTCCGAAGACACATTGGTTTTCGCACTCTAACTTTAGTTTAAGTGAATGGATCTCTATGAAATTTTACCATAAGGTTCAATACCACAAAAGGAAGGTTGGGATTGATTTTGGGGGTTATGGTACCAACAGTTAAGGAATTAGGGGCCAAAAAGGGGCCAAAAATAAGCATTTTTGTAACTTCCAGACATAACTTGTGTGTTAGTGTATGGATCTCTCTGACATTGTACCACAAGGTTCCAGATCACAAAGGGAATGCTGGGATTGATTGGGGGTAATTGCCTCCAAATTTTAGGAATTAGGGGCCAAAAAAGGGGCAAAAAACAAGCATGTTTCTAGTTTCATGATAATAACTGGTGTGTGTCAGTGTATGGATCTTTCTGAAATTGTACTACAAGGTTCCATATCACAAAGGGAAAGCTGGAATTGAGTTTGGGGGTAATTGCCCAAAAGGTTTAGGAATAAGGGGCCAAAAAGGAGCCAAAAATAAGCATTTTTCTAGTTTCCAGACAATAACTTGTGTTCAAGTGTATGGATCTCTCTGAAATTGTACTGCAAGGTACCATACCACAAAGGGAAGGCTGGGATTGTTTTTGGGGGTAATTGCCCTAAATGTTTAGGAATTAGGACCCAAAAAGGGGCCTAAAAACAAGCATTTTCTAGTTTCCAGACAATAACTTGTGTTCAAGTGTATGGATCTCTCTGAAATTGTACTGCAAGGTACCATTCCACAAAGGGAAGGCTGGGATTGATTTTGGGGGTAATTGCCTCAAAATTTGAGGAATTAAGGGCTAAAAGGGGCAAAAAACAAGCATTTTTCTAGTTTCAGGACAATAACTTGTGTGTAAGTGTATGGATCTTTATGAAATTGTACTACAAGGTTCCATATCACAAAGGGAAAGCTGGGTTTGAGTTTGGGGGTAATTGCCCTAAACATTTAGGAATTTGGGGCCAAAAATGGGCCTAAAAACAAGCATTTTTCTATTTTCCAGACAATAACTTGTGTTCAAGTGTATGGATCTCTCTGAAATTGTACTGCAAGGTACCATACCTCAAAGGGAAGGCTGGGATTGAGTTTGGGAGTGATGAATCATAAGGGAGTTCAAAAAATTTGGGGGAGGGATTTTTTTTTTCTTTAAAATTTTCCATTTTAAATTGGTTATTTCTGATATATATATAAAAGCAAATAATAATATGGTTTGAATAGGTAAATTAAAATTTTTTAAGTTCTTAGACCACATTCATTCTGTGTCAGAAACCTATGCTGTGTCAAATATTTAATCACAATCCAAATTCAGTGCTGTATCAAGCTTGAATGTTGTGTCCATACTTGCCCCAACTGTTCAGGGTTCTACCTCTGCTGTCGTATCAAGCAGCGCCCAGCGGAGCATTTTATTGCATCTGTCAAGGTACCACATCCTGTTTGCCGATAGACAAATTTCAGATACTCAATGTGCAAGGAAAATGTTTGTCAAACAATTTTTGGCTTTTATATTTGGTTCTTCATCTTGAAAATGTTGAGTTGTAGCTTGTAAGCAATTTTTAGCTCACCTGGCCCAAAGTGCCAAGTGAGCTTTTCACATCACTTGGTGTCTGTTGTCCGTCACTGTTGGTTGTCGTCATTGTTGTTTTTTTTGTCCATTAACTTTTACAAAAATCTTCTCTTCTGAACTACTAGGCCAAAGGTGTAGGTTCTGTTTTTCCCCCCATGATTTTCACAGTTTTTGACATAATCAACTTTGGTAGCAACCCCTGATCCACAATTTTTTTTTGTCTTGAGATTTGATATAATTATTAGCATCTTTTAGTTACAGAACATTTTGGATTGTAGGTTGCAGCCAAAGAAATCCTAAAGCTTTTAACAAAAAAAAAATGCACAAAATCATCATGATTAGACAATATATCCAAAATATGCTGACTTTAGAGCCTAAAATGTACTTTTTTTGAAGAAATTTATTTTACCTAGCATGCTTAAATGATTTCTTCCAATTTTTCCGTTTTCATGTTTTCGTCTATATCTTAAAAACTATAAACGATAAACGATATATAGACACTATAAATAGCATAAATAATCATCAAGACAAGATCTACAAATAAGGCATATTTTTGTAAAATTGAGAATGGAAATGGGGAATGTGTCAAAGAGACAACAACCCGACCAAAGAGCAGAAAACAGCCAAAGGCCACCAATTGGTCTTCAACACAGTGAGAAAATCCAGCACCTGGAGGAGGGCTTCAGCTGGCCCATAAACAAAAATGTGTACTAGTTCAGTGAAAATGGACGTCATACTAAACTCCAAAACATATAAATGAACTAAAACTAAAAAACGTACAAGACTAACAAAGGCCAGAGGCTCCTGGCTTGGGACAGGCGCAAAAATGCGGCAGGGTTAAACATGTTTTGTGATATCTCAACCCTCCCCCTATACCTCTAGCCAATGTAGAATAAACAAACACACAGCAATACGCACAATAAAACTCAGTTTAAAAGAAGTCCGAGTCCAATGTCAGAATAGGTAGCAAAAGAAACTATGCAAAATGACAATGATACATAAATTAACAAAGGACTACTAGCAGTTACTGACATGCCAGCTCCAGACCTCAATTAAACTGATTGAAAGATTATGTCTTCATATGATGAAGACTCTTTATAGGAGTCATTGCCTTTAAATGATTATTTGTTTACCCTTTTTTTGTGTTTTGGGCAAAACTAAAGAAGATGGAGAAACTAAACAGAAAAATTTATCACCAATACAAGATCAACAAAAAAGAGATTTTTGTGATGAAATCTAATCTAGTCGATAATGTTGGAAAGTATTCATTGTTGAAGATGCACATAGATCTAGGTGAGCAACACAGGCTCTTTAGAGCTTGTGGCTCTTGCGACATTTGTATTGCAGCTACTTCCTGTTTGATAATAGTTTGAAACACTCATTATTCAAGGAAAATTTTCGTCAAAGTTTTATTGGACTCAATAAAAGAGAACAATCAGTTATGCTTCAGTATACATGTTACCCCAATCAATAAAATGCAGACACACAGATCCAGATTCTGAATTAAACTGAATGTATTTGCCTTGTTTAGTTAGAAATTTCTTTACTCTGGTACATGTATTCATATTATTTTTTGATTTAGGACATATGCCAAGGTATAATTTAAACAAGAAAGATTTACAGGAGATAGAATGCCAAGAAAACTATTACATGCCAACACAGTTCCCATCTAATAGATACAGAGACCATGATGTTCAGCACTGCAAATATATGAAATCAAATTGTAATATGGAAGGAATGAAAATCTGTAATCACGGAAGTACAACAACTGATAGATCGTGTTACTGTGATTATAAGGAATTATATTTACCAGAGTTGCCCTTAGATCCTGGCGAACACTGCTTTTCACTGAAAGATAATTTATGTAGTCTTAGAAATGACTGTGATAGAACTTATCAAGAACTAGATATGAGTAAGTTTATATAACTTTTAGCTCACCTAGCACCTAGCACAAAGGGCCAGTTTGGACTTATCATATGGGATCATTTGTGTATCATCCCTTATTTGTTGTCTGATGTAAAATTTATCAAAAAAGCATTAATAGGCTAATTGATAGTAAATTTGCTGATCATGTTTACAAACAGAATTTAACTAAACTTTTACAAAAGCTTCTTCATAATCAAGAGATACCATCTGGAGCCAAATTTTGAAAGTTTTTTGTTCTTATTTTGCTGAAATTTCTAGGTTAACAATACAGACATTTTAGATCCCCTAATTTAATTGTTAAAATATCCATAATGACTGTGCTAGTGTTCCTGTCTCTTGAAATATTTTATGTAAGAAAACTTTAACCAATAGGCATTAAAAATAAACATCTACATTGAAATTGGAAGTTCTGACTGTAATATCATTTCAAAATTTCATAAATTTTCATGATAGGTACATTTATATGTCAGTCAATTAATTTGCTGTTTGCAAGTCTTAGTTTTTACAGTATTCATTTCAACTTTATTTTCACTCATTCATTATGCTATATATTTACATATTTTATTTAAGTGTACCAGTGTGTCAATAAATGTAGAAATGGTTACTATAGACCTGAAAATGAATTGATATGCAGACCTATCTCCATAAGCCCAACGTAAGTACATGATATATGACTTATTTTACTCTTTGTCTTTGTAAATCAACCTTCATGTTGAAGAAAGAAGTTATTTTTTTTTTGTTACTTAAGCCCTTGATTTCACCTTTTTTATGCTATTAATAAACTGCTTGTGTTTTTAAAAACAAGTTTGTCACAAAGTGGTGAAGCACCCCCAAACACATTGTACATCACTGCAAAGTGTCCAGATATAAACTAATGTTTTATTACTGAAATGAGCATAAATGAAGTTAATAGTACATGCAGTATATTATATATAAATACTTAATCAGCACAAACCTCAGTAATATATTCGGTTAATTTAAGAATATGATGTACTGAGATTGCCAATTAGACAACTATCCACCAGAACAATGTTCATTATCCTTGACCTCATTTTCATAGTTCAGTGACTGCTTGAAAAAATTTCAAGTTTTCTTGTCATGTGAAATACTCACTTATTATGAGTAATAGGATAACTTTATTTGGTATATGGGATCCTTGCAAGGTCAACTTGTCTGTCAGACAGGGTTCACCTGAACTCAACCTCATATCTTTAAGTAGTAATCAATGTGAAGATTTCGTGGTCAAGTCCGTTTCTCATATTCTACAAGCAATGGTTCAACTGTATTTGATGTATGGAATGATTGTAAGGTGTACATGACACACCGACAGGTTTCATCTGACTTTGACCTTTATTTCATGGTTCATTGAACAATGTCTTGTTTTTGTGGTTTGATCTATTTCTCAGAAATTATAAGCTATAGGTCAACTATATTTGGTGTATGGAATGATTGTAATGTGTACAAGTCTGGCTGGTAGGTTTCAGCTGACCTTGACCTTTATTTCATGGTTCATTGGATACAAATATTTTTATTCGTATTTCTGAAAAATTTGTTTATTTTATTCAACAGAATTACTGATAAAGTAACAGTTGAGGTATCTGTTCCTGACAGCAAACCAACAAAAGTTCCAAGGTTGACAACAACAAGAAGGGATGAAATGATCAAACCAAAAATGGAAAATGAAGGTACACATTTTTATTTTTTGCGGTCGTATATTGGTATTACGTCGTCTTCATCATTGGCGTCAGCATCGTACGAAGACATTTGGTTTCCAGACAATAACTTTAGTTTAAGTGTATGGATCTCTATGAAAATAAACAAAAGGTTCAATACCACAAAAGGAAGGTTGGGATTGTTTTTGGGGTGATAGTCCCAACCGTTTAGGAATTAGGGGCCAAAACAAGCATTTTTCTAGTTTCAGGACAATAACTTGTGTATAAGTATTTTGATTGCTCTGAAATTGTTCCAGAAGATTCAATACCACAAGTAGAAGCTTGGGATTCATTTTGGGGGTAATTGCCCTAACCGTTCAGGAATTAGGGGCCAAAAAGGGTCTAAAACAAGCATTTTTCTAGTTTTCAGACAATAACGTGTTCAAAATTAATTTTTTGAAAGGGGAGAGGGGGGTAATTTTTTTTTTTTGGGGGGGGGGGGGCAGTTTTTTTTCTTCAAAAGAAAATTCTCTTCAAATATTATTTTTTTTGAAAGGGAGGTGGGGGTAAAAAAAATCTTTTTTTGGGGGGGTCAATTTTTTTCCCCTCAAGATTTAAGAAATTGTCAATTTTCCAAAGAAAAAAATTGGGGGTCACAATTTATTTTGCTAATTTGTTTGTATTTTGTCTGAAAACAGATTAACTAAGTATTGCACAACAGCACAGTGTATTGCACAACAGCAAGAAATCTTCAATTGAATATAAATTCAAATCATACAACCAATTTCAAGTTCTTTGACTACATATATTCAGCTGATATTTAAAGACACTAAATAGTTATTGTCTTTATCCTACAATTAAATTTGTGCATTTTTTTCCATTCCAATCGTTGAATTTGTTTTTGAAAGAAATCGACATGACTTAAACACGGACCGCAATGAGGACCCAAAATTGAACTGTGACGTAAACAGTAATTTGACATAACCGTTCGCTCGCAACAGACGCAGGATACCAGGAGACTATACATCTAGTATACGTATATCACTTCGTGTTATCTGTACACCTGTATTAGTATAGTAGAAGGGTCGATTGCACGATAAATAAATATACTTTCCACTATTTGTTTTTTGTTAGTAAACACAGCAAACGGAAGTGAGTTTTACAAGAAAGAAGATCCTATCGAATATATTTAATATATGTTCAGATATTCCAGTTACCAATTAACATGTGTGAATTTTACCATACTTTTCAAGAGAAAAACTACACAAGTTACAGAAAGTACAGGTGTATGAATGGTATCTGTTGTACCAAAATTTATGAACAAAGGGAGATAATTCGATTCACAATATTGTCACAATATATTTTATTGTTTTTTACAATAAGTGTTTGATTTTTAGCTATTTTTGGTTTACTTTTTATACATTGCGACATGGATGGAGATTTGTCTCATTGGCACTCATACCACATCTTCTTATTTATATATATTATATCAGCAAGGTCTTGGAAGATAGCCGACTAAGTATATTTTACATTTTTTTATGTCCCTTGGAAAAAAAATATATGGAAAATAGCATTAGCAATTTCAACCTACATTTCTCTTACAAATTTATAAAAAGTTTTAAAGGACAAAAAAAAAAACTTTTTTAGTTAATGGCCTTAAACAAATAAAATATGGGAAGCAAGGAGGACATTTGAAATCTGTTCTTTTATCTGGACTGTATTACTACTTTTGAGATTAATCAAACATAGTATATTGAGCACAACATTCTATACATCCTATCAATAAACATGACAATATTAATGTACCTATAAAAACAACGTTTTATTCATTTCAGGAAAACATGATCTAGTAACTATTATAGTTTTTGTTGTTATATTGATTGGACTTTGTTTGGTTATAATAATAGTATTGCTATGTTATCTTCGGAGGAATAAAAAAGGTAAGACTATTCCTTAGACTTCATTTTCATAGAAATAAACTGATTTGGCAAACAAAGGTAATTATACTAAGCATCTTCAGCTACGCTTAGCTCATGACAAGCTACTATAAATTCAGAATTCAATTTTTAATGTGAATCTTGGACAATAATATGAGCTTAATTTTTAGGAGACAATTACAGAAAAATATGACTGTCAAAAATAATTTGAAATCATTGTGAAGTTTTAAAACTTCTTCATATTTTTTCATTAATGAAAAATATTAATTTCTGAATTTACAGTTTTCATACTGCTTTGCTCTTCATTACCTATGTCTGCAAATTGCTGATTAGCTTTAATATTTTGCCTCAGCTGCAACCTGTACCCTCTGAATTCAGCAGTTCCTTTCTTACAAGGCCCATCTCTGAAACTCTTAAATGCCATCACACCTTTATATGCTGTCTAAATAATCAACATGTATTTTTTTGGAAAATTAAACTAAGCAAAACCTATCATTTTTATGTGAAATATTTTAAAGAAATTAAAGGCCTTTTGATATGAGAAAGGGACAATGGTACTCAAAAGTATATACATTTTCTATGTAATGTAATATGCTTTATCACTATTTTACAAAATTTTCCTTTGATCTTACTGACTGATTATTTCCTTTCTCAGCACCGTAGAGTGAAATGAAAAATTATCGATAGAAACTAAGGGGGCATGTGCTATTGTCAATGAAATGAACAATGTCGCCATAGGTATAATAGAGATAAACAGATTATCATTGGTCATCTCAACTTGATTGTTTTTCTTACTTTCACCGTACCAGCTCAAGCGAGAAAATCAATCTCGTTGAGATGACCAACGATAATCCATAAATATAGCTTAATGTGATAATTTGAGGGTAGTTCTTATGATCTTTTCTTTTCACTTCTTAGATTTTGAACTTTCAACTGTAATGAATTTGACTTTGGTTGATTGATTTTCTACTCTATGTTTTAAATTTTTGGCTGAATTTTCATCATTTGTAAATCCTTATTGTATATTCTCTTCAACTTTAATTTTGATTTGGCCTCCTAACGGATTCAAATACCACTGATGAGTTTTCTGTAGATACTAGATGAAACACACTTCAGGCATTATAATTTATAACCCTGGTATCTTTGGTGAAGGTTTGATAGTTGGACAGGCTATCGCAAGTGTTCTACTCCTAGATAATGTAGTACTAGTGTTTGAATACTAATTCTAGGAAGATGCTTCTAAAATTTTGAGTTACTTCTATTTTGATTAGCTTACAGCTTGAATTAAAATGTACTGAATGTTCATCGATAATTCAAATGAATTCAACTTCATTTTGAAAATGGCTATCACAAACACTACTTCGCGGATCTGCGCTGTGCGGAAATTAAAATCAATACACATCTACACAAGACAGCAGTTTCTACGTTATGCTTTTATCGGTATTCCCCAGACATGTGTGAGATCCATATATGTGTACCTCCCGACGGGAGTACAATAATCCCGGTTTCAGGGATTTCCTCCCGTCCTCCGGTTGAAGGGAAAATAAATACCGTGTTTAAAATATTTTATGAATGAACATTTTTCGATGCTATTTTTAATACGATTATTACAAATGTTTATTAAAGACATAAAAGCCTGAGTGTATCGAAAGTAACCTGGTATCTCATCTCTGCCCATAACAGACTCGGACTATAACAAACTCGGCCTATTACAAAATCGGACTATAACAAAATTAGTATATACTATTTGTTATTAAGTCTCCCAAACAAAGTTTGGAGACTTATTGTTTTTGCTCAGTTATTATTTTTCTTCTTGGGGTCTATTTATGGGTATTTTGAGGGGCCTACAGAAGGGAGGGATTTACTAAACCCAATGGAATTTTATTTTTTTAATTTTCAAATGACTATAACTTGAGAACAGTAAGTGATAGACACACGCGGTCTTCAGTAATGATCTCAGGACAATAAAAAAAATTAAATATAATATAGGTTGAGTCCCTGGGGTCAAACCCCCCCCCCCCCCCCTTTCCCCTTTCTATTTGAGAATGGGCTTTTATCTTGTAAACAGTTGAGATCCCCACACCTAAACCATATATATTCATGTATGGGATAATAAAACATATCAATGAAATATAACGGGAGTCCCTCTGTGTCACCCCCACCCCCTCCTGTTTAAGAACTTGTAAATGGTCGAGATCCTCACCTTGAAACCAAATTTATTCTTGTATGGGACAATAAAACAAATCAAATGAAATATAGGGGGAGTCCCTGGGGTCACCCCCACCCCCTCCTGTTTGAGAACTGGTAAACGGTCGAGATCCCCACCCCTAAACTATATATATTCTTGTATGGGACAATAAAACAAATCAAATGAAATATAGGGGAAGTTAACGGTGGTCACCCCCACCCCCTTCTTTTTGAAAACTTGTAAACGGTCGAGATCCCCACCCCAAAACCATATACATTCTTGTACGGGACAATAAAACAAATCAAATGACATATAGGGGAGTCTCTGGGTGTCACAACCACCCTATCCTGTTTGAGAACTTATAAACGGTCGAGATCCCCACCCCTAAACCATATATATTCTTGTATGGGACAATAAAACAAATCAAATGAAATATAGGGGGAGTCCATTGGGGTCACCCCCAACCCATCCTGTTTGGGAACTTCTAAACGGTCGAGATCCCCACCCCTTAACCATATATATTCTTGTATGGGTTAATAAATCAAATCAAATGAAATATAGGGGAAGTTAACAGGGGTCACCCCCACCCTCCTTCTTTTTGAAAACTTGTAAACGGTCGAGATCTCCACCCCAAAACCATATACATTCTTGTACGGGACAATAAAACAAATCAAATGAAATATAGCGGGAGTCCGTAGGGGTCACCCCCACCCCATTCTTGTTTGAGAACTTGTAAAAGGTTGAGATCCCCACCCCAAAACCATATATATTCTTGTACGGGACAATAAAACAAATCAAATGTAATAAAGAGTCCCCTGAGAATTAACCCCCCCTCCCGCTTTCTTTTTTGAGAACATGTAAACGGTCGAGATCCCCACCCCTAAACCATATATATTCCTGTTCATGATTTCAAGAAGATTTGAATGACATACAGGGTTAATTCCTAGGTGTCACTTATGCATATCATTTTACTAGACCAAAGCAATTTGTACTGGACTTTACCCAATGTCAGGCGACCATGGGAATGACTAATTATGGGAGCTTTGTTTGGGAGACTTCGTAACAGCATCCTCTTACAATTATTTCTTGTATTAAGTAAAAATTTTTAGAAGTTGGAAAAAAACGTGAACCACACAATCTACATATCATAGTCCGAGTTTGTTAAATACATAACAATTCAAACATGAAAACTAACTGCTTAATTAATAATAATACAATTTACAACAAACAAATATGAAGGACCTTAATCAATAAAAAATACTTAATCACAGGCCCTTTACATGGGATGGGCACAGAAAGAAATTAACAAAGCTTTCTGTATATTTGATTATTTTAAATCTACAGTTTAAGGTTGCAATAGAAATTATCAAAATTTTACATGACAAACATATGAAAAAAGTGATTTTTGATAATTGCTGATGAGACAATGGTTTAGGGAAAAACACCAAAGCTTAAATACATATTTGAAATAATACACATCTACAACCTATTTGAAAAAATACACATCTACAACCTATTTGAAGTAATACACATCTACATCCTATTTGAAATAATACACATCTACATCCTATTTGAAATAATACACATCTACATCCTATTTGAAATAATACACAACTACCGTTGCAAACTTTCCACAGGTGCTATCCAGCACTTTGATTCTGTGATATTATATGCAAGTACTGATCAGAGTCACTGAATTAAAGATATGAGATCAAATCAGGGGTATTTATAATTGCCAAACATTTAAAATACATGAATTTATAGTTGGCATCAATTGATTTATATTTATTAAAAATTTGGCATTAGCTAAATGGGTCATTAAGTCCTCATTAAACCTTTATGATGCATTAGGTTAATGAAGACTTAATGACTCATTAGACTAATGACACGTTCGTACAAGCGGCTGCTGTTCAATGTGAGGTGTCCTGACCCTCTGCTTGAAGTTTCTTGACATTTACCAAACTCTGTTCCTGTGATGCATGCCAAATTTCAAATGAAAGTATCTTGTCTGGTAAGAGGATATAAGTAAAGTTTGCATACATGTGCACGGCTGGCACAGTTATATCATTTGATCACAAGCATAGCCCTTTTTAAGGTCTGGCTAAAAACATATTAGGAAAAAAAAGTTTTTTGTTGCTAAGGAATTTTTTGTAGGGAAAAGATATTTTGCCAAGACATTTTAAACAAAGAATTGTAAGGTTAAAATGATACATGTATTATTGGAGCTTTTTCTTCCTTTACATTTGAATTCAATAACTTTAAGCAACATGAGTGATGGTAGGTTAATCAGATTATACTATTTTCAGAATTTTCATAATATGTATTTTGAAATGTGGTATTATACAGCTATTTGTGGGGTTCTAACCAATCCTCCATGTTTTGAAGCTTCAAGATTCATTACCCTCATGCAGTGTGACACAGCCTTTGCAATTTTATCTTGTAGATGGTAATGGACCTAATATTTGTTGCCCTTTTGGACCTGTTCATCATAGTAATATTAACGCGGGAATTTATTCTTCTGGGAATCAGAACCAAATACTTAATGAGTGTGAGTATGATTAACAGATTACTATATGGGTTTTTCCTATCAGCCTTAAAAAGTCATTTAAAGACATCAAGATGAGTGAGTTTT